GGTCAGAGAGAGGCCTGCCTGCACCAGGTTGAGGGGAGCTGTCCTGCCAGGAAACAGCCCTGAGTTGTTTTTGACCCTGAATTGAACCCTGTCAGCGTACCCATAAACCCCATCACCATGGGCTTTGTCAGAGAGCTTTGTGGGGCCACTGCACTGAAGGGCCAGCTCCGGAAGCACAGGGCTCATGGGAGGGGTGGCTGGTGTCAGTGCCGAAGAAGGCCTGGAGGTGGAGGCCCATCTGACCTCCGCTTTGAGGACCAGCCTGGGGCTGTTGGCCTTGATCCTCCTCCCTTGTGGAGTTAGAGGAGGTCAGAGGCCCCATCTCCACGATTCACGCTTTGCATTTCTCAGAAAATGAGACTGACTTGTCCTGCTGAACCACCAGTAAGTTGGAACCAGTCCCCTTTCTTCCTGCAAATCATCTAAAAGCAAGAAACAGAGTGAAAGGCACACACACATTCATTCTCATTAAACGAAGAGACAGCTGGGCAGCAGACATGGTGCGGCGGCCAGAGCAGAGCCCGTGAAGCCAGGCCGTGGGGACACAGCACAGCACAAGCCTCCTAAAGCCAGAAAGCACATGCGTCAAGGGTGAGGGACATACCCTGAGGTGCAAACCCAACTCCTTGTTTGTAACAGCAGAAATACGGGGCTGGTGGTAAGTGCTGCCCTGACCGCATGTGCCTAGAAGACAGCAGCATTGCAAAGGACTGGTCGGGCCAGCCATGTTTGCAGAATCAGTGTTTGTAGTGGAAGGGGAGAAGAAACATCGTGCTTTGTGAAAAACCTGGTAAGTGAAGATTTTCATTGGCCAGGAATAAGCAGAAGCTGACCAAGCTCTTATTTAAGGAAGAAAAACACACACGAGACGGCAACAGAATTTGCTTAACTGGAAAATGGCCCCGGCCTCATTTCCTACATAAGCTTCTTATGGTAGCTGGTCCAGGGAAATTCCACTCTTTCAAAGATGGGGAAGCAGGAGTGGAAAACAATGCTGAAGACAGAGGAGGGAGGGACACTCAGTGACGAGCTGTCACCTGAACAGCTTCTGAGGGGACAGAAGGATTTCAAGAGACAATTTTCTGTCATGAATTAAAAACCAGAACCAACCACAGCCTCTAAGAAGCAAGGGCCCAAAGCAGGGACATGAGAGTCAAGGAAGAGACGTTATGGGAACAGAACGGAGACGGCTTGCGTGGGCTCTGCCCTCAGGAGAAACAAAGGACAGAAACGACGATGTTCCAGAAGGGACAGCAGAGCCGGAGAGGAACAGACAATTAGCATACTAACAACACGAGCAAGAGCGCTGGGGGGACCAGGCAGGCTGAAGGTAAAGTGTGTATGGAAAGAAAACCCAAATGAGAATAACCAGGAAAATTAAGAAAAAGAAGCGTAAGGAGGAGAGCCGTAAGCAGCCAGGTGTTAAAATGGCCTGTAAAGCTACAATCCTTCAAACAGTGCAGTACCGTGCACACCCAGACCAGCAGATACCCAGGGCAGAATCAACAGAGTAGAGACCCAGATGTATATGGACAAGTTAGCACTCAGACAAGGGGGTACAGTGGGTCACTCGGTTACAGCAGCCATCTGGGGAGGAAAGCTGGGTTGCCCCTTCATCCCATGCTCCATGATAAATTCCCAATGGATCATGGATTGAAATGTTTAATAAAAATGACACCATAGCTGTCCTAGAAGAAATCATAGGAGAATAATTTCTAATCTTAAAGTGGAAAAGGCTTAAGTATACCACAAATCCCAGAAATGATTTAAAACAAAGAAATTAATTTAACTACATGAGAACTGAGAATATGTGCTTGACAAAGCCATGATAAGCAAACCTCCAAGACGTGAAACACAGGGACATATTTACAGTTCATGTCTCAGGCCTGACTCCCATCATATATACTGTGTTCCTACACCATGAGAGAAAAGACAGTAAGCCAACATACAAATGGGCAGGAAGTGATGGAAGACCAAACGGAAACAGCTCTTTAAGTGCAAATTACAACTACACCTATGAGACTGCAAAGGTGAAAGTCCAGCTAGCCCCATCTGGAGAGAAGCACCCTCAAACCCCACCCCCAGGAGTGGATCCCTCAAACCCTGCCCCCAGGAGTAGAACCCTCAAACCCCACCCCTGGGAGAGGAACCCTCAAACCCCAAGTGGAAGTGGAACTCTCAAGCCCCACGTGGGAGTGGACCCCTCAAACCCTGCCCCTGAGAGTGGAGCCCTCAAACCCCAGCCCCGGGAGTGGATCCCTCAAACCCCACCCCCCTGGGAGTAGAACCCTCAAATCCTAACCTGGGAGTGGACCCCTCAAACCCTGCCCCTGAGAGTGGAGCCCTCAAAC